ACCCACTTCCGCTTCTCACGCTCTGTCTTTTTTTACTCTCAGCTCCTGCCTATGGCCTGCTAGGGGTGACAGGGGGGACAAGCTGCTGGGAAAGCCGCACGTGACCAGGCTAAGGGGCGGGGAGCTGAGACAACAGGCATGGACAGGAGACACAAACAGTGGGCATGGTCAGCAAGGACAGCAGGCACAGAGTGGAAACATGGATGGTGGGAACGATCAGTGGGCATGGACAGCAAGTACGAACAGGAGGCATGGACAGGAGGCATGGGTATGGACAGGAGGCATGGACAGTGGGCACAGTCAATGGGTTAGGACAGCGGGTATGTATAGGAGTCACAGATGGTGGGCATGGTCAGTGGGTAAGGACAGCGGATATGGACAGGAGTCACAACTGATGGGCACGGTTAGTAGGTAAAGAAGGTGGGTACAGTCTGCGGATAAGGACAGCGGGTATGGACGGGAGTCCCAGAAGGTGGACACAGTCGGTGGGTAAGGACAGCGGACACGGACAGGAATCACAGCCGGTGGGCATGGTCAGTGGGTAAGGACAGCAGGTACGGGCGGGAGTCACAGATGTTGGGCACTGTCGGTGGATTAGGAAAGCGGGTACAGACAGGAGTCACAGACGGTGGCCACAGCCCTCTTTAGAAGCTCAGAGTCATGCTAAGCAGACCCAGGCACTGGCTGTATCAGGCTGTACCTGCAAGAGGGACGCCGGTGTTTTTATATGAGTTTGTGGGCAGTTTTAATGGCGTCCATTAAAGCAGACGGCCTGGCAATCACATTGCTGCCGTCATGGCCGGGGGGGCTGATTGCTTACAGAGCATGTTTGCCATATGGTGCGATTCTGTAAGGGCAGGGGGTCTCTCCTCTCCAGCGCAGACTGAAGGTTCACCTGGAGCCCCATGCCTCTCTCTCGGACCTGAACAAGTGACCCTAACCGCCTCTCCACAGAACTCCAGCTACAAACTCCTCTTCCTTGACCGATGTCAGCCCCCCACCCCCCACCACCATAACTCAGCCATTTTCAAACAGTACAGCCTAAATAAAAATGGAGGTCAGATTTTGGTTTATTTAACCACACTGTGTAAAAACTTGTTTCCTTTTCTCGGTTTTACAGTTTTGTCGGACTGTGCTCTCGCTAATTAAAATCATGTGTCCGAGCCCACAGGTTACATTCTGGAACCGCTAACGGTTAATGAGGGATGGATGATGCGATCATTAATTCATAGGCCCACCCGCTTTCCCTGAAACCGGATAGGCTCCAGCCCATCTATTATTAACCAATCAGGAGAACTTCCTGCATCAATATTTCAGGCATGGATGGCCATTGTTTTTGTCTTTGAGATTTGGATCACTTAGTGGTATTGAATAGGCCAGCAATAGATAGCCCTGCTGAAGTTCATATGTGCCGATCACGGTGCCAGCCTGCTAATGAAGTGAAGGGCTAAAAGCCAGGAGGGGAGGGGAGAATCGCCAGCCTCTGCTCATAAGGAGAGCGCCCCCTATCGCATGCTCTCAGCAGACGCCAGTCACCGGTGCTGAGGCTCCTGTCACCTTCTCACAGCGAAGAGTCTTTGGCATCGAGATGGGAACGATGCAGGGACAGAATCGGGATGGAAGCATGGCTTGGCTGAAGGGTAATAGTGGAGGGTCCATTCTCTCTGAGCCTCAGTGCCGGTGATGATGGACTGCCTGGTTACACCAGAGAAGGTCTTAACCCCCCTACCTTTCTGCAGCGTGTGAAACAAAGAGAAAACTGATCAACTTAGTGCGTTAGGAAAACCATCAGGAATAAAATGGCATCTGCCATTTTGGCGCCGCTCTTCCCAGTGCCCCAGTGGCTGGGACACGGCACACAAGCTCCCAGCCAGCAGTAACATACCCAGAATGAGACATTTGCGTGAGCTGCTGCTCTCGGTGGCTTGTCCTTGAGGTCACTCTGAGCTCTACTGGGAGACGGGCGGCGGAACGGCCCCTTTCAGGACGAACACTGAAACACCTGATAAGTCGGTCTGGAAAAAAGGTAGAGTTTCAGAGCCTTTGAAGTAAGAGAGAAGGATTGCGGCCCCTCATTACTCAGATAGAATCTACACTCAGACATGTAAGTTAGCGATTCGGATCTATTGGGACAGATTGGGTTCCGTTAAATAGTGCCATTTTATGGCTTTCTCAGGCTCGCCGGGGCAGCAAAGTGAAACACTGAGCAACATTGATCCGGCCAGACCGGCTGGGAACCTCCCCTCCCCCACGCCCCCCCTCCCCTGTGCCCTCCCTGAGGTTTGCCTTTCTGTCTTCCACTCCTATTTTCCTTCAATACTACTTTTCTTTCTTTTTCTTCCTTCCTTTCTTCCTTCCTTCCCTCCCTCCCTCCCTCCCAAAGAACCAATTCATTTCCTCCTTTCACTGTGCGTCTCCCTCCTTCATAATTATTTTTATTCCTCCATGCTAAAGTCGTTTCTTTCTTCATGTAGCAGAGACACAATAATTGCTCCGGTCTCAACACGAAGACCTCAGAAGCATTGCAACACTGGACTTATGTCGGCTCGTAAAATTCTCCCACAAAAACACGGCATGTCCTTCCCAGAGGCGGTGGCAGCGGCAGACTGCTCCCAGCGTTCCCAGGACCTGCCCTCCACGTTCCTCCACTTCCATGCTCTTCTTTTTAGTAAATGACAGCGCTTCCTGCCACACCAGGCCTCCTAAACTCCCGCCTCAGGCATTTGAAGTTATCTCCACGCAAAGGTGTTCCTCTTCCGGGACCGACGGAAACAAAGATGTTGTGCTTCTCGGTATTCCAGGACCTGCCAGGATCTTCCCAGGAGCTCGGAGAAAAAAGATCGTTCACAGCAACAAAACAAGTGACAAATTGTTTTCTTGTGTGACAAAAAAAGTGTTTTCCTCAAGGAAGACTGTTTTATTGAAACATCTGCATCTGATTTCCCGAACCCGGTGGTTCTGTGAAGCCCCAGTTTCGGACTGACAATCCTCAGCGTCGCACGAATTGTGGGTCACGCCCTGGACGTCCGAACGTGCCCCATGGTGCCCGCGTGCGACGCGGTGGGCACGGGTGACCCGAGCTGTAAGTTGGCGCACGAGGCCATGGAATCACGAGAACCAGAGGCCTTCAAGCCTCCTTCTCCGCCAGATCAATCCGCAGCTTCTCTCCCTCTGATCAGTGCGGCACCCAACTCGTCCTGTTGGGAAGGATCGTCTCAGAAAGGAAGTTAGTGATAAGAGTGAGGCGTTTACGGGCCTGCTGATAAGAGTCAGGGGGACAGAGTAGAGCACAGGGCAGACAGAGAGGTGGCAGCCCACTGACAGCGATGAGATAACGAGGGGCTATGGACAGCTAACTGTGCTTGAGGGAAAACAGTGATCAATCTCCAATGAAAACACGAGGGACGGCATTTCGGGGGAACTGAGTGACGGGCACATTTTTATAGGGCTGTGGTGGGATTCCAGGAAGGATGCCACACTGTTTTGATTTCACTTTGCTTGTATTTATTTAAGTGAGATTTTCCAAATTCCAAAGCTAATCGGGGTCCTGTATAGAGAACCTGTGAGATTGCGGGCGCTAGGCTAACGTGGGCTGGGCCCGGGCCTCGGGGGGGGGGGGGGGATGTGATGTTCGCACCCTCGTATTATGACGGGAGCTCTCCTGAACACCTGCTGTGGTCCCGGGCAGTGTGCAGATGAAAGGGAGCCTGAACCTGAGGGCAGTATGAGAAGAACGTCACCTGTGAGGAGAGGGGAGCAGCTCTCCAGGGGCAGATAAGCCACCACCAGATGTTAGCATTTTGCTGTCTGCCGGGGACCAAGGTCCCAGGCCTGTGTGCCATCCAACATTAGCCCACCGCCAAGCTCTGTGGAGGCTCATGGCTAAGGGGGGGGCAGCAAGGTCCGCGGTCCGTACTGGATGTGAACGAAGTCATCATACCTTAATGTGGGTGATTTCCAGGACAGTGGGCATGTCGAAATCAAACCCGAGTTTGCCAAATGTTAAGACGCAGCGGCTGAGGCAGGTAAGGAGGAAGAAGCCTCCAGAAATGCCGAACCAACTGTCTGCAGCGAAGTTCACAGAGCAGAGAAGC